TTTTTTTTTAAATTTTGCCGCCCCCCCCTCATTTCTCCCAGCAACGCCGCCCCCCGTCCCCCCCCGCAGCAAGATGGTGCAGAAGAAATCAGAGATCCCGGGATTCCACCGCTCCTTCAAGGTAAGGGGGTGCTCCCCGTCCCCATGGGGATGCCCGCGGGGGCTCGGGGTGCCGGCAGGGCCGGGGTGCGCCCGCACCGCTGCATCCCCTGCTGGGGAACGGAGGGGGCCCGGCCGCTTCCTGCCCCACCCCCGACACCCCCCAAACTGAGGAGCTCCGGGAGCGCTGCCGCCCACACCGAGCGGGGGGACCCCCCTGTCCCCCGTCGCGGAGGTCGCGGTGCTGCGGGGGGTTGGGTCCGTGTCTCCCTCCCCAGCCCTCGGTGGGCGCTGGGATGCTGCGGCTCCCACGGGGATCCCCGGGGGGGTGGCTGCACTTTCCCCCCGCCCATCGCACCCCTCCGGCCTGGCCCGGCCGATGTGGGGGTGGTCTCAGGGCTCCCCAGGCCCGGCCCGGGGACACCGTGCGAGGGTCGATCCCGCAGTGCCGCCTACCCCAGGATGCCATGGGCACCCCCAGCCTGGGCCCGTCACCCCCCCCGTCCCCCCTGCCACTGTCACCGCGGGGTGTGCGGGGGGGGCTCTGTGCTCCCGCTCCTTTCGGTTCCCCCACCTCCCGAGCCGCTTCTTGGCTGTGGGTTGGGGGGTCCTTTGTTCGGTTTCGCTCCAGCTCCGGGGTGCGGAGGGGTCCCCCCAACCCGCCCCCTCATTGCAGTGACCCCCGATTGTGCTCGGGTGGGCTGTGGCCGGGGTTTGTGTCCCCCCGCGGTGGCTGGGGATGGAGGCGGGGGGGACACCTCGGCTGTGCTGATGGAGCTGGTGCGCAGCCTCCCATCCCCCAGACCTTTGTGTGGCAGTGCTGCGGCAGCTGGCAGGGCCCCCTGCCCCCCTATTGCCCCCCCAGTGCCCCCGTACTTCCACTGCCCCCCCGTACCTCTCCCGGAGGCCTCGTCCCCCCCCCATCCTGCCGGGGCTCGTCCCGGGGGGCAGCAGCTGCGGGGCGATGCTGCGCTCCCCAAATCCAGCTTTTGAGGGGGAGGAAAGCTGGCAAAATGCAGCACAGGAGAGTTTTGGCCCGGAGATCCGAAGTAGTGGTTGGTGGGGGGGTGCTCCTGGTGTGAAGCTCCCCCCCGTTCCGGCCGGGGACCCCCGTTCCCCCCAGGGCTGCAGTAAACAGCCGCGTTCTGGGTGTTTCTGGCGGTGGCCGGGGTTGGCCGTGCTGGGGCTGGCAGCCGGCCCGGGCACCGGGCGGGTTTGGGAACGCCGCTGGAGCTGCCACCTCCACCCAAACAGATTTCATAATCCTGGGGAGGATGGGCCCTTTGGCCCCTAGCATTGCCCCGTCCCATGGGTGGCTCAGGGCAGCAGAAAGCAGAGGGTCCCCGTGTCCCCTCGTGTGCCACAGGGATTCAGCATGGGAGGAGGAGCGAGTCTCATGCCCTGCATACATCCTGGGGTGCAGGAGGGTTTGGGGTGAGGCCTGATCCTGCCGGGTCAGGGGTGTCCCGCAGCCTGGTGGACACGGTGTCCACTGGAGCAGGGCAGAGCAGGCTCCAGCCACTGTGACCTTGCAGGGAGCTGGGAGGACATGGAGGGGTGGCTCTGGAGCATGTCTTGCCCTGTGGCTTCTCTTCCTCCCCCTCCTACCTCACTGTGGTTCAAGTTTGGGTGGAGATTTGGGGTTGGGTTGGTGTGGGTGGCTTCGGTCCCTCTCATCATCCCCCGTGTGCTGGCCTGGGGCTGGCTGGAGAAGCGACCCCGCAGCACTGTCCTCATCAGGAGATGTGGTCAAAGCCTTCCTCCTCATCCTCTGGCTCTCCCTGGAGCTCTGCTGTGTCCCACCATGAGCTGGTATCCTGCACCATGGGGCAGTGAGCAGAATGTGTCCCAGGAGCCAGAGCATGGTGTGCTGTGTCTGTGCTGGGCTCAGGGTGGCAGCCAGTGGTGGCTGATCCAGCAGCTGCCACCTCACTCCTACTCTTGACTCCCACAGGGGCAAAACCCTTTCGACCTGGAGTTCGACCAGTCCAACCACCTGGAGCCCGTCTTCAACTTCGAGTGCCCGCCCCGTCCCGGTGAGTCGTGGCTGCCTCCTCATGGGGCTCCTCCCGTCCTGCCCCAGGGATTTTGGCCCTGAAGGCTTTGGGGGCAGCCCTGGCGGTGCTGGGGGAGCTGTGGGTGGACAGGGATGGCTGACTCCAGTGGCTTTGCAATGGCCCAGACATGCCTTCAAGTCAACCCATCGACATCCCTGACGCCAAGAAAAGAAACAAGAAGAAGAAGCGCTGCAGAGCCACCGACAGCTTCTCTGGCAGGTTCGAAGGTGAGCGGGGCTGCTCAGGGACCCCAGGAGTTCCTCCTGGCCCGGGGCAGGGCTGGGCCCTGCTGGCATCCCCAGACTCTGCAGTGAGGCTGGCAGCTTAGGTGACCTCTCCCCTCTCCCAGATGTTTACCAGCTGCAGGAGGAGGTGCTGGGAGAAGGGGCCCATGCCAGAGTCCAGTCCTGCGTGAACCTCATCACCAACAAGGAGTACGCAGTGAAGGTAAAGCTGCACTGCTGGCTGCAGACCTGCCCCCCTCCCACCCCCTGCTCAGTTTCCATTTCTGCCATCTACATCTGGGGCTCTCCCAGCTCCCAGGACCATCTGGTGCTGGCCCAGGACTGGGCTGTGATGGTGGCACATCGACCTCTGCCACCACCCAGCTCGGGGTCCTCGGTGACCCCCCCTTAGCTACGCTCTTCTCTCTGCCAATGAGGGCATGCTGGAGACTAAATTAACACTTGGGATGTATCTGGGAACTTGGGGCAGGCAGGGGCACGTGATGCTGCAGGGTGGTCACTTCCTGCTCACCCCAAGGAGGTCTCTCTCGTGTGGGCACTGGAGGGGGTTGGGGTGAGCCAGCTGCTATTGGGGTCAGGGACGTGCTCCCGTGGCACTGTACCCCACAGGATCCAAGCCATGACATGGGGCTCTGGGATGGGCCCCATGTCAAAATGCAGTCAAATGCTAGGGAAACTTTGCCTCCCCCATTGCTCGGTGGGGACCTTTGGGTGCCCCAGAGGGGAAGCTGAGGCAGCAGGGAGGGCTGTGGTGGTGGGGTGCTCCATGTACAATGAGAGCACCCATCTGCCCCCTCCCGTTTGGGGTGTCCCCCTGTCCACCCTTGGCACGGCCAGCAAGCCCCGCTGTGCCAGCGCCCAGTGGGGCATAGGGGCCTTCGCAGCGCCGGTGCTCAGCATCACGTGGAGCTGTGTTGGCCCCGGCCCCGGAGGGAGCGGCTTGGCACCGCCGCTGCCGCTTGGCACC